CCAAGGCCTTTCTGCCAACTGGTGAGAAGAATCTTAACTTTCTGGGCGATCTTATAAAATTAAAAACTAAAATTGAAGGATGAAGACGAAAATGCTTCGTGTCAAAGGATCTAAATATTAAGGACATGGAATTGAATACTGAAATCATAGAATTTCTGAAAAGAAGATACTTCATGTTGAAAGATATTAATACTGAGGCTTAATAAATTGAAAATTAAACTTCGAAACGATGATGACTCATGTCAAGGTGAAAGGTAGAAAAAGAAGTAGAAGAATCTATTTCAAGCTTTCAGTCATCAGCCTGGCGGGTTAGCTGTCCTTGTTCATCTTTCACTGCCTGAACCACTGTGCATGCTTTTTTGGCGAGTGCATTGACTTGGGATGTGGGGGTTGAGCAAACCGGTCATCGGATGCCTGCTTCCACGTAGCCCCGCTGGATACGGGAATGACAGAATCACTTGTGGTTCTGTTATTCCCTAACTGAATGGCATCCCAACGATGGCACAATCCTAAGGTGTGTGTATCCGTGCCGAGAGGATGAATGTCACTGAGCCTATCAGCTGTCTCTACGGAATCTTCGAGATACCGGGCGCCCTCTCGTCGTAGCATCGCCTTGTCACGGTAATGCGGGGCTCTGCCGTGATTGACCTTCTTTCCCTAGCTACTCGTGGGACATTTATGGACAGAGTAAACTTATAAATTCTTTCTGACGCTGAGTCTACAGAGGAGATGGATGTCGAGTTTACGATTTCAACTGACCTCCAGGTGAATTTAGTTCAGGAGCGAATCTACAGAGGAGATGGATGTCGAGTTCACGACTCCAACTGACCTCCTTGTAAATTTAGTTCAAGAGCGAGTCTACAGAGGAAATGGATGTCGAGTTTGCGACGCCAACTGACCTCCCTGTAAATTCAGTTCAGGAGCGAGAGCTTCTCAACTCCCGAACTCCTGATTCAATAACTGAACCTAAAAAGATAAGGTTTGGTGGTGCAGCCAGGAAACGACTGAGTTGTCTCCTCAAGAGCGGGGTACCTTATAGAACCGCTTTGCACCAAATTCTTGAGCGGCGTACGCAGAATCTGTCTGAGGTGGAGGAACAAACCCCCCATGAGCAGGTTAGCAAACGTTTGTGCTCAAATGATGATTCACCAGAACCAGAGGCAAAAAAGCCTTGCACGGTTGAATCTAAGGCATCGTCAGGTGTAGCTGACGTGCAAAATCTCTCATATGGGAAGGTTGTCACGGGTATCAAGGTGGGAATCTTGCACCGATGGAACAACAGAGCATATACGTTATGCAGGTCCCGCTGGGGACCGAATAAGGCTTTTAGAGTTCGGCAGAGCCGTACTCTTATCATCTGATCTGAAAGACCACTCACCATACAAACTAATTCGCTTCGTAAAGAAGCTGGGTTTATTTGGTCAAGTGTGAATAGGTGTGTGCCACAATAAACCCTTGTGGGTTGCGGTGCGGGGTCGGATAGACCCACTCACTTTGGGCCTAACCCAACCTAAACATCAAGCTTTTTTGTCTGAAAGAAGCTGGTAAGGGTTTGAAGATACATTCCTAACGAATTGTAGACGACTGATGTCACCACCCTTCCAATGCAGCTCTTTCTGAAGAGTTTTAGTAGATCGTTTGGTAGTGCTGCGCATTTTGATATACATATACATCACATTGCACATCAAGAAGAACGTTTGAGAATTTATATACTAGTAGATTGGCATTCGAAGAATGAAATGAGGCATTGAGTTTGGGGTGAAAATACTCACAATTATTCGTCGTACGAGTTAGTTGCGGGAAAATAGCTTCATCAAAAATGTTGTTATTCAACATACACTTGCGAAATTCCTCAACTCTAGATTCTGTAGGCTGAATGGAAATGAAAGCGAAAGCAAAATATTCACTGACTTCAGACGGAGGTGAAAGAGGCAGCTCAAATATTCCTTTCGAAGATAAATTGCTTTCTGAATTGCAATCATTGTACGTTGGAATTGAACCAAGTTGTTGATTTTTTTTACAGTTTCGACCTAGATGAAAATAACTGCCAGCAGTTTTAACCGACGGTAATACTGCTTTGATAGCTGGATGTATCGCCTTTCAAAATCTGCACAGAAAACTGAAGCTGAAAATATAATGTAAGGTGAAAAAGAAATGATACTAACGGAATGTTGGAACCGTTGATTTGAAGAAAAACTTCTGACTCATTCGTATCGATTTTCATACTATTAAGAGCGTCATAAATATCAGTAAATGACTGCGGAAGTTCAGGAAGATTGGACAGCCTACAAAGGTTAATATTATTGCGATTTGAAGCAACATCTTATGAGCACAGTTTTGGAGCGTCAGTTTTTCACATTTTAGCATGAAAGAGCTTGGATGGATGTACTGAAAAGTCGTCAAGAGCTTTCCCCTTTCTCAATTTTGGCCGCTTTGAAAGGTGGTCGTCGTCTTTCGAATGATCTATATGCTTGAACACTGATTCAAAAAACTTCTGCACTGTTTGTGAATGCATGCTCAATGTTGTATATTATTAGCAAATGATTTGACCAATAGAATTTCAACCCACCAACAACGATTAGGGTTTCACCTTTCTCACTAAGCAATGATTCGTACTGTATATTATCCATCATGAAACGAGAAGTTAATAAAGAAAAGAATGCAAATAATGGAATTGAAAGTTGATGAAACTATAAAAAAACTCAAGAAATTCAAAAAATAACTGATAACAATGATTGTAACCGAGTGTATTTGCTTGTTTTAATAGGGTGTGATGCGTAACCGTGACAAGTCACACATTGTGAATTATAATTTAAAAAAGATGATGGGCGTATAAATATATCCTCCTGAAAACCTTCGGCTATGGATCTCGAAAATTTTTGATATTTCTATTCGTTTCGTAAATAATAAGGGGGTAAATTTTTGGCTGGGGAGCTCTGTCTACCGAATCCAATGTCACCTGAACCGTTTCCTAAATTACTTGAACGCCCAACACCCTAGCATAAAATTCACCATGGAGATTGAGCAGGACCAACGGATAGCTTTCCTAGATGTACTAGTAGAACGATATGGTACCAGACTAACCCACAAAATGTATCGAAAACCCACACACACAGATAGATACTTGCACGCACTATCGAACCACCATCCTAGCCAAAAGAGAGGAGTCATCTCTGATCTAACGGAACGGGCTCGGAGAATATGTCAACCAGAACATCTGGAGAGGGAACTGAAATACCTTGAAGTGACCTTGCGATCGAATGGATACAGTGCCTCCGAGATCAGGAAAGCCATGAAACCGAACAGCACCACGGTTCGAAAAGCGAAAAAGGATCAGATGGTTGCACGCGCATATCTACCGTTTATCCCTAGGGTCACGGACAGAATTGGAAAACTATTGGATATACACGACATCGAAACAGTCTTTAAACCCACGAGGAAGATACAACAAAGCCTCAGGTCGGCTAAAGACAAAAGAGACCCATTATCAGCAGCAGGGGTCTATCGCATACCGTGCACTTGTGGGAAGGTATATATCGGAACCACCAAACGATCCATGGGAACGAGACTAAAAGAGCATAAAAGGAACTGTAGACTAGGCCAAGCGGACAAGTCAGCTGTGGCAGAACACGCGCTTAGTGAAGGAAACCACATAATTTTGTTTGAAAACACAGAACTAATTGCTCTCAACCAGGAATACTATAGCCGACTAGTACGGGAGGCAATAGAGATCCACAAACTCACAGAGAATTACAAAAGAAAAGAAGGAGCGGTGAACCTCAATCGAATATGGTACCCAATTTTAAGGAATTCAAGAATAACGAACAGAATGACAACAGGCAGCAAGATTGTTGATGTTCCAGGTTCAAGTACAGGTGAAAGTACAGGTACAAGTGCAGGTACAAGTACAGGTAAGTTCTAGATAATATTTGATATCAGATATCAACAATGGAATGTAGAGTGGGGAGTCTGCAGGCACCGACTGTTCAGTTGTTGAGTCTGCGCACTCTCATAAACACACTGATTAGAACTCAGCCGATAGTTGTCCAACTTTGTAATTGAATCAGAATTGGTAAGCCTATCCAACTTGTTTCTGATTATTCAGTCGGCCGACTAAAATCGCTTGGATGTGCGGACTCACATAAAGATTTTATACTAATAAACATCCAACTAAACTATAAAAAGTATTTAGTGTGCGCTTGTCCTAAATCTCTAGCCAGCCACTCACGCCAGCGAAGTGTCAGGAAGAAATTCCAAAAATCCACGGCTCTCAAACTCGAAAAACAGCGACACTTCAATGTCAATTGATGGAAGAAGACTGAACGTTTGATTTTTTCGCCGTGCCGTCAATTCGTCTTGAGAAATGAGCCAGAAATTTTGGAAACATTTCAATTCGTATCGTGTGATTATTTTATACTCAACTTGAGCACAATAGTGATAACGTTGAATGTCATTGGTGAATTTGATGTCAGAAAGAATTGACAAAAACGGTTTATTTCATTAATTTCAGTCAACAGACATATTTCAATCAGTGTTATCTAGGGTCTGTTTGTTCGGAGTACAAACCAACAGATATTATTCCTTTCAGAGCATATTTGAATACATTTACATTTTAACGCTTATGACATAAGCACTTAATCTGGCTTGGGCAAACAAAATTTCCACCAACTTTGCTTTATTCAAACAAAAAGGATTTTACTCAATTCACCCAGCTTCCGAGTTTATTTCTTGTGGAACAATTACCGCAAAACATCAGAAAATGGCATTCAGGGCTTATTATCAAAATATAGCTCTGAATAATTTTCATTTAACACTATCACATAATATTTTTGTACTGTTGCATTTGACTAGTACAAGCAACACATATACGCAACATTTTTTATTCAAATTCTTTAATTCTTTGCATCAATAACTGAACCTCCGTGAACCATTTTTACAGTAACCGCTGACAATTTTATAGATATCCGACCGCATTGAAGCATCAAACTATTATAGACTACCTCGTCTTTATCCAAGCCCAACTATAGAAAAGAATTGAAATTTATTCAAAAATCATCAATCTTACGAAAAATCTGGCAAAACAATCCTTTAATGTTGCGGAAATATGACTGGTGAAGTGATCTTTTGAGCAACAACGGAGACTTGAATGCTTTCAAAAGTTTTATATGAATTTCATGTTATTATTCTTTTATTATACTACATTCATCGCATCACATTTACTAATCCTGAGTTAGACTCCTTGAATCAGTGAAAACACTAATATCTGGATGAATTCTTCTTTATTATGAAAGATTTTCGATCATTTTTACATTGTTTGCAGAAACATTTAGAATCATTCCAGTGATACATAAATACATATATTTGTTAACTTTGTTATAAGTATCTGACCAGAATACCAATAACAATTTTTATAAAAGTATTTGACAACTTTTTGTGCAGTGAGAAATGAAAATCCATAGCTTATTCACACTTTACTGTCCACTTTACAAGCTTTTTTACCTGTCCAATATATTTCAAACCTTTGTTTGAAGGTCCATTCCATTGTCTGATTTGATATAAAATGATTTGGAACCTCTGAAAGAATGGATAAAATCAAAATGAATAGCTGAAAATGACAATTATACAGGGTGATTCAAAAGTACTTTGACAAACTTCAGGAGATGATTCCTCACAATATTCTAATATGAATTGTCGAAATAAATAAATGTCCGGAAACGCTTCGTTTCCAAGGTACAGGATGTTGAAGTTTTATTTTTATTTTCGTTTTTTTCAAATAACTTTCAAATACTGAACTTAATTAAATGAAACTTGGTAATAGGAGGTTTTTGAGGTGTCGAATTCGAACCTGATGTTCTTATTGCTCTTACTCGTAGGGGGCGCCACCTACACGTCTTTTTCTTTTTTAAAGATTCATAACTTTTTTGGGCGTACTTCTAGCACATTTTTCAGTAAAAAAATCGATTCCTCTATCATATCTACGT